ATATATATCCAGACATTTCCTGATTCTTAGACCCCTGGGTACCAAGGGGAACAGAAAGGACTAAGGAAGACAGAGGCTGAACCATCTGAAAGAATGGGTAGAATTTGGCAGTAGACAGAAGGGATTTTTGTCTACACCTGTGGTTGTAAGCACCTCCTTGCTCTTGACCCATCAATAACTGAGTCAAGTTCCATATGGACAAATGACAAGTAGTCCTGGACCCGTGTGGTCATACTTAGTGTCCTTTGCATACCTCCTGGCAGCCTGTTAGCTCTCTAAGGATATAAACTCATAAAAGTCTCATGTTAACATTTTAGAAATGCAGGTGCCATAACAGAAGATACGATATACCTTCTGGTAAGGCAGACATTGCAGAGGCAGTCAGCCCAGGGCTTAAAAACATGGACTTTGGAGCCAGGCTGCCTGGGTTTAAGGCCTAATTCTGATAATTTGCTGAATAGCCTCCCATCTGCATGGTTTTCCCATCTGCAAAATGGAGATGATCAGTACTGCTTTATGGAGCTGTAAAAATTACCTAATAGGGCCGTAAATGCTTAAGGTAATGTCTAGTACCTGGTCAACTCTATAATTATTTGTGCTTGTTCACATTACTACACTCTTGCCCCTTTCTGATCTTGCCTGTCTTTGGATAGCTCTGCCTGTTTTGTAGTCAGATTTGCACTAACTTTACCACCTTTAGTGTATAACTACTGAATAGTACATTCCCCACCATACTAGTTTTGCTTTGTGTTTTTTCTTATTCTCAGGCCCAACACAGAGATACTTTCATTGAAGAACGCTATGGAAAATATAACATCAGTGACCCTTTAATGGCGCTACAGAGGGATTTTGAAACACTGAAGGAGGAAAATGACAGTGAAAAGCAGCCAGTGTGCACAAACCCACTCTCTATTCTTAAGGTGGTGATGAAGCAGTGTAAGAACATGCAGGAGCGCATGCTGTCCCAGCTGGCTGCGGCGGAGAGCAGGCACCGGAAGGTAGGCTTGGCCCAGTGGGCATGGGCTACAGAATCCTGCTGATTGCTGTATAAATGATGGCTGGTGTCTTCTTGTCACCCACCACTGTTCACAGTGCTTCGGTTGGGCAGGTGTTCATGGGTATCACAAAGGCCCTTCACTTACATAGGAGTCAGGGTATCCAAAGGCAGAGACAGGTTATTCCAGATGTTCAGTTCAGGGAATGTGCCAGATGCCTTATTGAAGATGGCATTCCTTCTTGATACGTCATTCCAGAATACTTAGTGTGCTTTTTCAGATCTTGGTCTTCCAAACTTTGGCAACAAGCTGGCGTTTAACCATACTTGTAGCTGAACAGAGCGTTCTGTTTGCTTACTTAACTGATAAATAAAAAGATTGAGAGAGAGAAAGAGAGACAGAGAGAATGTGAATTTACCTGACTATAAACATATAAGCCAATAGATTCTTTCCATTTACTCCTGTTTTGAGTTTCACTGTATTATATTGCTCCGGAGCCCATAAACAGTTCTAGGGTCGTTTGCTTTTTTAAATTTATTTTTATTTTGTGTGTATGAGTATATTGTGTGCATATATGTAAGTGTGCCTGTGTCATGTGGTACCCATGGAGGACAGAAGAGGGCATCAGATCCCCTGGAACTGGAGTTCTAGACAGTTGTGGGTGCTGGGATTTGAACCCAGGTCCTCTGCAAGACCAGCCAGTGCTCTTAACGGCTGAGCCATCTCTCCAGCCCAAGTCATTTGCTTTTAGCTTCTATACTGTTAAGTCAGGGACAGGGTTGGTTCTATGGCTGAAAGCTCCTAAGCTGAAAAGGCAAACCTGTGCTTTCTTCAGTCTCATCTGTTGGCATTCCAGTGAATTTATTCCCCGGTTTGTTCACTGATCATATTTGGCCTACAGAAGGTGTTTGGCAAGAGTCTGCCTTTTAAAAAACTACAGTTTAGAGTTCAATTTTGTAAAACTGTATTAATTCAACTGTGAACCTAAAAATTTACAGCCACTTTTGAAAGAGATATATCTTTGCCTTGGAAATTGTTATTGAATATGTTAAAGCTGTAATGAAATGCTTCTTCTAATCATGTGGTTATTAAATAAATAATTTTTTTAAAAGATTCAAAGGAAAAAAAAACCCTATAGTTTAGATTTGCACAAAGGTAGGTAGCACTGCATTTTTGTACAAGTTTTAATCAGAAAAATTAGGCCAACAACTGCCAAATGTAGCAGGCATTAGTTTACTCTCATGGCTAAACTTGGATCAGAGCTCTCTGCTGAAGTCATATCTGAGAAGTTACCCACATCCTGGGTCTTCTTGCCTGTCTGCCTACGTTTCACTTTACATAGTTCAAATGATAGGTCCTTAACAAAGGTAGGCTACAGATATTCCACAGTCCCCCCAAAATAATATGCAGACTATCAAAAGTTTATGCATTTTTATGGAAATTTTTTTCATACTGTCAAATTCCTAAAGTTTATTAAGATCTAAGATCTAGCTGGGCGTGGTGGCACACACCTTTAATACCAGCACTTGGGAGGCAGGGGCAGGAAAATCTCTGTGAGTTCAAGGCCAGCATGGTCTACATAGCAAATTCCAGGCTAGCTGGGGCTACAGGGAGGCCCTGTCTCAAAAAGACTAAAATACATATATTTTAAAAAAATAATTAGCCTAGAGTAAAGTCACCTGAAAATATTTCATGTCGGTACATTGAAATGTTTTGTAAGCGAAGAAAGTCCTCACCAGATCTCTTATTGATTGGTGAGCCTTATTCCCACTTTGTACAGGAGGTGGTTGAATTGTGCTGACGGGTTGGCTTAGGCGGCAGGCCCTGGGTGTCATGGAAGGTGTAGTGTTGGTGGTTTGCAGGGCTAGGTGACTGGAAAGAGGAAGAAGCTAAAAGTCATTGAAAACTCCTTAATATTATGTTTCAATGTAAATTACGTGTATGTGTTCCTTGGTGAGGTACGTGCACCACATGGGTGCAGGTATCTGCAGAGGGCATCAGATCCACTGGAAGTGGAGTTGACAGGCAGTTATGAACTGCCTGATGTGGGTGTTGGGAACTGAACACAGGTCCTCTGTAAGAACAGTAAGCACTCTTGACCACCAAACCATCTCTCCAGCTCCTCAATGTAAAATGTTTTAAGTGAGCATTACATTTTGGAGACTAGATACCTACCTGGTTTGTTTGGGTGGGTAGGTGGGTTATTTTTGTTTGGTTGGTTTTTGTTTTTGAGACAGGATCTCATGTAGCTTAGGCTGGCCTTAAAGTTAACAGTCAAGAATGACTTTGAACTCCTGATCCTCCTGTCTCTACCTCCTAAATGCTGGGATGACAAGTGTGTACCACCATGCCTGGCAAACTACCTCTGGAGCCTCTTCTCCAAGTGGAGCACTGCCATTGTCAGAAATCAGATAGTCCTTTGAGACTTGTAATTGGAGTGCTTGTAGTCCCAATTTGCCAAGTCCAGTTTGTACCTGTCACTATGACATTGTTATTTACTGTAACCCCTTTGCCTCTCAGAAATCATGATCTGAAGAGTAAATTATACAGTTACAGTGCTTATAATGAAAAGTAGAGCTCCTTAATCCCCGTCTTCTCCTTCTCCATCTTCCCAGCACTCAAAGGCAACAACTTCAATTTTTGTTCTTGTTGTTTTAAGACAAGGGCTCACATACCCAGCCTAGCCTTGAACTAGGTAACTGAGGATGACCTTCTGCCCTCACCTCCTAGGTGGTGGGATTATAGGCATGCCCTGCCACACTCAGTTTAAGGAAGTCTAATCTTTTGAAAAATTCAGACCCTGAGCCAGCCTCCCTGAAGCAGCTGCCACTTCAGGTTCCAACTCTTTGGGGTCCTGCAGAGTACAATGACTCACTCCTCCATGCTGAGGTGTTGCCTTGCCTTGAGCCTCTTTTCCTGCTGCAAAATGTTATTGGAATTTTTCATCTAGGGGCCAAAGAGATGGCTCAGAGTTTAAGAGTGCTAGCTGCTCTTCCAGAGTACCAAAGTTCAGTTCCCAGCACCCATGTGGAGCAGCTTACAACCGACTGTAACTCCAGCTCCAGATGATCCAATGCCTTCTTCTGGCCTCTGTGGACACCCAAACACATGTAGTATACACAGACAGACATCCATACATACACATAAATAAAATAAATCTTTTTAAAAATTATTTCTTGTCTACTAAAGCTTCTTTTGTCTGTGACATTCTAATCTTTTCATTCCATTTCTGTAATTTTAAGACTCTCAAAGGAGAGGATACATAAAACATGACTACTACGTTTAATCAAAAGCCTTTTTATTAAATATTAAAATTAGATTTTTTTAAAAAAACAATCTTACTATACAGCCCTGGCTGCATCCTGAGTACTGGCACTAAAGGTGTGTGCCACCACACCCTGCTAAAAGATTCTTAAACTCAAAAGGAAATACATCACACTGGGCGTGGTGGTGCACACCTTTAATCCCAGCACTGGGGAGGCAGAGGCAGGCGGATCTCTGTGAGTTCAAGGCCAGCCTGGTTTACATAGTGAGTTCCAGGACAGCTGGGGCTACAGGAAGACCCTGTCCCAAAAAGACAAAAAAAAAAAGGAAATATATCAAAATATTTTCATTTTAAATTTTATTTATTTATGGGTTTTTTTGGGGGGTGAGTTTTTTGGCGTTTGGGAGTTTTCTTTTGGTTTTGGTCTTTTTGAGACAGGGTCTCCCTATAGCTCCAGCTGTCCTGGAACTCACTATGTAGACCAGGCTGGCCTTGAACTCACAGAGATCCATCTGCCTCTGCCTCCCGAGTGCTGGAATTAAAGGTATGCGCCACCACACCCAGCTCTATTTTAAATTTTTAAAGTGGAGTTTCATGTTATAGAAAATTTTCTTTCTTCATTCCTTAGAATTTTGATGAGAGCACTCAGGAGGCAGAAGCAGACAGACCTCTAAGATGGAGGCCAACTTGATCTACATAGTGAATTCCAGGCCAGCCAGGGCTACAGGGAGACCATCTCAAAAGAAAAACAATTTTTGGATGAGGCAGAATCCTGAGAGGTGGCCTTCTCAGGGACAAGTACCCTGACCTGGAGGTCTAAGTCAAGCCATTTCTGAAGCAGGAGCTGCTGAGCACCTATACCCAGTCAGAATGTTGTGTTACAGGCTGAACTTCGTGGAGAATGTCCCTTTATGTTTGTATTTCTCCTGGAAACTGGCTTTAATCCTTCAGTGTAAGTGGACTCGAGGTCAGCAGGTCAAGTAAGAGGTCTTGTGAGAAAACACCACTTAGGATCTCAACAATTGAGCCATTTTGTACTTAGGGTGAAATCAATCTTTCACCTTTTACATTGGTGTACAAAAATGTGTATGATTAGTTTAGCAAGGCACAGGATATCCCCCATTTGAAGTGCTGTATTTCAGGCTCCTGTTTTGGTGCCTACAGGGACTAAGCATTGAAAGGAACACCTCAGCTTTCTAGGGGTCACCTTCCCCACCACCTGCTTGCCCCTCATCACACCAAACTGCACGCAGTTTCAAAAACTTTCTCCTAGTTCTCAGAAACCTCAACCCCCACAGCTAGTCAGTTGCTTGCCTCTCTGTGTGCATTCTTCTGCACGTATTTCGAGTAAACATCTTGTGTTCTAGCACTTGGCTTACACATCTTTCCTTGCTAGACAGTGTGCTCCCTCATAGCCCTGACTGGATTTCATTTGTTTATTTAATCTGGAACTCTCTTATGTGTTTAGTTAGGCACTTAGTGATCTAAGTGTGATTGCTTGATATTTGGAAGTGAATGCATTAAAATTCTTTAAAGGTGATCCTTGACCTTGAAGAAGAAAGGCAGAGGCATGCACAGGACACAGCTGAAGGAGATGATGTCACCTACATGCTGGAGAAGGAGAGGGAGAGGCTGACTCAACAGGTAACTAAGGCAAGAGGATCAGGCAGCATTTACCTAGTCAGATTATTCTATGGGGTGCTAAACGGTGAGGGAGGCTTGTGGTCAAGCAGGTCTGGAAGCTGCTGGATTAAACAAAGTTAAACAGGCTTCTAAGTATGCAGAATTACATCATGAGTCTTCAAGAACAAGATAGACTATTCCAGTTTAGCACAGCTGTTTCCATCAACTCTTTTTTAAAAGACACAGATTACTCACTGTGGAACTATCATTCCATAGTACATACTTTGGGGGTCTCTGATTTGGGGGTATAGTTTTTGAACTTGGGGTGTTTTTTTTTTTTTTTTTTTTTTTTTTTTTAAAAAAAAAAAAAAATTGGTATAGAACCCACAGTAAGTAGAAACACATTACCAAGTACAGTCCCAACATGCCTGAAGCAAAAATCTCAGAAAATGAAACACAATACTGTCTGCCTGTAGTATACATTGGTGCCTTCTGTTTCATTTTTTTAAATATTTTATTATTTTATTTTATGTGCATGAGTGTGTTTGCCTGCATGTATGTAAATGCACCTATGTCAGTGCAGTGCCCACAGAGGTCAGAAGAGGACATCAGATCCCTTGAAACTGTAGTTACGAATGGTTGTTAGCCAACATGCAAGTGCAGGGAACCAAGGCCAGGTCCTCTGGAAGAGCAGCCAGTGCTCTTAACCACTGAGCCATCTCTCCAGCCCCCTTCTCTCTTTTTTTCTCTCTCTTTCTTTCTTTTCTTCTTTCTTTCTTTTTTTTTTTTTTTTTAAGAATCTGCTCATGGCTCACTGAGTTGGATTCTCCATCCATCAGTGGGTCTCATTTGGACAGACACTGGTTAGGACAGGTTCTTTGACCATTTCAACTCATTCAGAGTCTGTGATGATGTTAGAAGATAAAATAGACTGCATTTGTGTAGATCGGAGGGTGGTGGTGTATGCCTGTCATCCTGCTAGGACTGCTAATTGGGAGGTTGGGAGGTTGAGTCCGGAGGATTCCACGCTCAAAGCCAGTCTAAAAGTAAGACCCTATCTGATGGAAACAACGGCAAGAAAAAGTATGGTCCAAATGCCGCTGTTGATGCCTGGTTTTTGTTTTCTTAAGACCAGAGAACACCATTGCCGAAACTTTTCAGTTTCCTTTTCAGCAGTACTCGTCCCCTGGTCAGGCTTACAGTTTTCTGTTATTTGTGTTGGCTGGCTCTGTGCTCTACATACCTAAAAAACAATCAAGCATCATATTCCCTCTGATCACCCCGAGGCAATGAGGAACTCAGAGTGCCCCAAAATCATCAAGGAAAGATTAAATCATAGTGTATGGGGGGTTTGTGTTGGGTGTTCTGATACTTCAGAAATACTAATTAATCTAAGCACCATGGCGAACATTCTAATACCATGTACCAGAGAACAGCTGTCAAGGACTTACGTGATCATCATTTGTAGTAATTCTCTTTCTCTTCCTGCTCTAATCAAGATGTGTGCTGCCATTTCTTTTCTAGCTAGAGTTTGAAAAGTCCCAAGTGAAAAAGTTTGAAAAAGAGCAGAAGAAGCTCTCCAGCCAGCTGGAAGAGGAACGCTCCCGCCACAAGCAGCTCTCATCCATGCTCGTGCTTGAATGCAAGAAAGCCACCAGCAAGGCAGCCGAGGAGGGGCAGAAGGCAGGGGAGCTGAGCCTGAAACTGGAGAAGGAGAAGAGCCGCGTGAGCAAACTGGAGGAGGAGCTGGCAGCTGAGAGGAAGCGAAGCCTGCAGACCGAGGCCCAGGTGGAGAAGCAGCTGTCTGAGTTTGACATCGAAAGAGAACAACTGAGAGCAAAGCTGAACCGAGAGGAGAACCGGACCAGAACTCTGAAAGAAGAGATGGAAAGCCTGAGGAAGATCGTGAAGGACCTAGAAGCTTCCCAACAGCCCAGTAGCACCAGCGAGCAACCGAAGAAACCAGTAACCGTGTCCAAAGGCACCACAACAGAGCCTGCCCTGCTGGTGTCTGTGTTTTGCCAAACGGAGAGTATCCAGGCAGAAAGAACCCACGGGAACATCATAGCCAAGGTGGCAAACACTGGTCTTCCTGGTCCCACTGCTCCTGCTTACTCATACGCAAAAGCCAATGGCCATTGCGACCCAGAAATTCAAACTAGCAGGGAGCTGATCACAGGCAGCAGTGCAGAAAACCAAGTGCCTCCACGAGAGAAGTCTGTGGCATCAGCCCAGGAGAAGCCAGTGGAGAATGGTGGGTGTCCTGTGGGAGCTGAGACTCCAGTCACAATGCCCAGTCACCTCCCTTCCAGTGGCAGCTCACTGTCTCCCAGCAGCACTGCCTCCTCCTCTTTGACATCATCTCCCTGCTCTTCACCAGTACTGACCAAGCGTCTTTTAGGCTCCTCAGCCAGCAGCCCTGGCTACCAGTCTTCCTACCAAGTAGGGATCAACCAGCGCTTCCATGCAGCTCGGCACAAATTTCAGTCCCAAGCAGATCAGGACCAACAAGCCAGTGGTCTCCAGAGCCCTCCATCCAGGGATCTGTCCCCTACCCTGTTAGATAACTCTGCTGCCAAGCAGCTGGCCCGAAACACAGTCACTCAGGTGCTCTCCAGATTCACTAGCCAAGGGCCAATCAAGCCCGTCTCTCCCAACAGCTCTCCCTTCGGCACAGACTACCGGAATCTGGCCAACACTGCCAACCCAAGAGGTGACACCAGCCATTCACCTACTCCAGGGAAAGTGTCCAGCCCTCTGAGCCCTCTGTCTCCAGGAATCAAGTCCCCAACCATCCCTAGAGCTGAAAGGGGAAACCCTCCACCTATCCCACCCAAAAAACCTGGCCTCACCCCATCCCAGTCTGCTGCCACTCCATCAACCAAAACTCATTCCCAGGCATCCTTAGCCACCACAGAAGACCTTGCCAGCAGCTGCTCTCCCGGTGCCATGGTGGCCAATGGCAAGGACGTTGAGATACTTTTGCCTACCAGCAGCTAGTCCCTACAAGTGAGTGTCTACATGTGGCGTTCCATCAGATTTCGTCCAGGAGCTAAGAGTTAGACCATGGAGTCAGATTGTGTTATTTATTTTGATAGTAGCCACAACCATCTGTATATTGCTGTTCAGTGTATTTACCTTTTTGTATTTTTTTAAGTAGAAAGTGAGTAGTTTGGATTTCTATAACTCACTTCTTTGTACTAGCTAGAAGGGGACCTCAGAGACATCTCAAGCTCAGCAGTCACCCTGTGTGGTGGAGAAATCTATTGTGTATCAGTCGGTGATCTGCTGTCATTTGGGATCTGTAATTACTCAACACTTGGTTTGAATTCTGCAGAAGTGGTTCATGCATATTTTTATTCCAGATGAACATGTTTTAAAAGTGCCTGAAATAAGACTGCCACATGAATGTGATTCTGCAGCAGAAACAAAAGAAAACGAGATCCTCTGTGAATCTGAATGTTAGAACCAACACTGCTTTTAATCCTGGTTGACTTTTTCACACCAGCTTTGCATTCTGAAACAAGGTTGCATAAGTAGAGTGGAAATCCTTCTAAAGGTGGGTGTGAACTCTCCGTGAAGCTGAGCTTTATAAAGCCCTCAAGAAACCGTCCCGAGCACTAAGCAGTTGGGGTGCTGATTTTCTTGTACTTTTGAAAAATTAAGTCACTCTGGTTTCCTGCATCCATTCTTGAACAGAGTGAAATCACATCTTCATTCGAAACCATCTTGGAGCATCTACTGTTGTGAAAGGAACTTCTGATTCTGATTGCTTTTACTTGAATAGGAAATAGCAGAATGACGTCTTTATTCTGTAATCAAAAAGCAATAACTTAAAATTCACTTTATAATATTTTAAGTCAAAATTATACAGGTGTTACCAAACTGTTACATTTATTCTCCAAGCTGCCAGCACTTGTCTCTGTGGAACCAAATTAACTTTTGCCCAAATGGAAGTATACATATACCTGTATAGATACATGCCCCTTTACATGTTTAACATACACACACTGAAGCACATAAATATTAGTGTGATTGTATCTTTGGAGTTTGCAGTATAGCATAAAGGACAAGTAGAATTGCATGTTAAGATTACCTGCCAAAGCAGCTGGGTGTGGTGTAGTCCAGTCAGTCAGGGGAGGGATCCCTGCACAGGGAAGTGCAGCGACTCAAAGTGAAGCCCAAATCAGCATCCTAAAAAGGCACAGCTGAACTAAGTCTAGGGGCACGGAACTCAGCTGGTTACATGAATGGGTGAAGCAGAGACTCCCAGTGCTGTCCACCAGTTTGTACTGGGAGCTATAATGAAGCAAAGGGCACCAGCCCCATTTAGGAAGACCGCCCCCGTGCCCTGCCCTGCAGGAATGCTGAACCAGGGCTGCCAGTTCTTTAAACTAGAGAATTCACATTTCCACAAAGAATCTGCATTCAAAATATTTCCATGTTTTGAATACCAAGAACTGATTTTAAAATGTTTTTAAACACTGCTGGTTAAAACAAACACGGCTGCAGCTGAATTTAACTTGTATGCTGCCAGACCACAGCCTTTTAAGTTCTAGAAGTTCTGATGTTTCCATCATAGTGAGTTTGTATAGATGGAAGCCTCCAGGTTTCTCTGCTGTGTAGGCTGCTACACATGACCAAGTCCACAGAATAGAACTGTCTCGCTTTTACAAACAGCTCTTGACAGCCCAACTCAAACATTGTGGTTATGTGATTTTTGTATCCAGAGGGAGAGTGGTGGGGGAAGAGAGGCATTGGTGTCTTCACATACATTCTCCTAGCTAGCACCTATCCAGCCGCCCCCAACCTGCTATAATGTTTTCTTTTAATCTCTTGAGTCAACGGTGGAAAGACATGTGATGGAAATCAATGGATAAGTCCAGAGCAGAGTCACTTGTGATGCTACCGCTTGTAATTTAAGGTAAATACATGAAATATAAAAGTACTGCTGATGTTCCAAGGTGTCTACCGAAATGCTGTAAGGGGTATGTGGAACTTCCCAAAGCTATCATGTGTTGAGTTGTACTCCCATCACGTAACCAAAATGGAACAGTGAGGATCAAAAGCTGAACTTCCTAATCAAGGGGAGACTCCAGTGCCAGCGTGCTCTTACCTCTCTTGCTTTAAATGGTAATCTTAAAAATTGCATTGTGCTCTTCCTTTGTTTGGAGATAGATATATATAGAGAGAGATGCTATAAGGAAGTTTATTTCTTAGGAAGTACACTGAATAATGTATTTCTTTTAAAGTGTAATATGGGGGTGGGGATATGCAAAAGAAATGTGTATTTTTGCTAGTTGCCTATCTTCTGAGATAAATAAGCACAATCCTGAAATGGATCCAATAATTCAGTTAGAGATTATAGATTAGTATTTAAGTTTGCAGTAGATTGTGTGTGTGCTATGTAAAAGTTCCATGCTTCACAATTTTGGGATTAACCCACGTCAGCAAAGCTATGTTACTGGTCAACAGATTATAATGATGTGTGACATGTTACACAAGCATTAACTAGTCGTTAACATTTGTAAAGCCAAATGTACCATGCTGAAGTCTTCATTTTTATAGCAGACTACATTAAAACAAGTTAAATTATATTGTCTGGGGGAAAAAGTCTTGTCTGTACAAAGCAAAGAACGTTGCACAATTCGGGGTTGTTTTATTGGAAAGGGGAGCAGGTGATGTAGTGGAAACACTTGGCCTTGTCTTTGGAAAATCAAAACTCGATGGATCTTAATTCTTTGAGAATTGCGTATATGCATACAATGTATTTTGATCATAATTCATACCACACACACACACACACCCCTCCCAACTTCCTGTCCTTTTTTTTTTTTTAATAACCCATTAGATCCAATGTGTGCTCCCCATATACCCATGGGTGTGGGGCCATCCACTGGAGCATGGTTGACCTAACAGGGGCCACACTCCTGAAGAAAACTGACTCTCCCTCCCCCAGCAGCCGTTACTGTCAATAGCAGGGGTGGGCTTATGAACCCCTCCCTCCTCCATGCTAGACTGTCGACTGGCTTGATCTTGTGCAGGTAGCCACTGTTCCTGTGGCCCTGTTCTGCTCTGGTCCTCCATGACCTCTGGCTCTTACAGTCTTTCTACCCTCTCTTCTGTGATGGTCCCTGAGCCTTGAGAAGAGGGATGTGATACAGATGTCCCATTTGTTGCTAAGCACTCCCCAGAGACTTATTCTCTACACTGTGACCATTTGTAAATTTCTGTGTTAACAGCTGTTCACCACACTAACTTCTCTTATGAGGACCAAGAGCCAAGCTAATCAGTGGTCACAGAGATACATATTTCGATGGCAGTTTGATACTATGTCCATCTAGCAAGATAATAGTAGTAGATTCACCTCTAGGGCCTATAAACTCCCCACCATGGGTTTTGGTCAGATATATAGTACCAGGCTTGTGTTTCCTGCTGTGGAGCAGGCCTTAAATCTAATCAGAAAGCATTGATCATGCCAAGACGTTGGTGCCATCGTTGCACTCATAGGCATATCTTGCCAGACCAATTGTTACTAATAACGTTTTAAAGCTCCTTCAGGGCTCTGGACCTTTTGACAATCTTAGAAAAGCTAGAGACTGCATTCCCAGGAAAACAGATATGCCTATGTGCAAAATTTGGTTGATGGCCCTACTGGAACCGGACCGAAGCTGTCCATGACTCACACATTCCAGCCTCAATGCCTGGTCTTGTTCTGCCCTCTCATTTCACAAATGACTAATGCCTCCCTTAAAGTTTCCTAGACTAGTGCTGTTAGTGCTATGCTCTGTTTGCAATGTAACTTGTAGCCAGACAAAAGTACTTGAAAGTTCTTTGATGTACAAAAGATGTTCAAACAGTGTGGATGTTTACATATCTTAAGTAAGCTCACTAATGATCAGTTTAACAAACACTACCTATAACCCATTTCCCATGGCAGCCTCTGGCAAATGCTGCCTTGTCAATTTGTATGAGAAAGAAAAAGAGAGAATTTAGAGAGCTTCTAGTGAGTAGGTAGTTCTTGAACTTCCAGTGCCTCAAAATGCTGGCTTCACAATGGGCTGAGTTGGGCTGGGGGTGTGGCTTGGTGGTTGAGCGCTTGCCTAGCACATGCAAGGCCCTGAGTTCATCTGAGAACTCCCACAGAGCTCCACGCTCTGGGAGTATGGGAGCCATATTTACTTAATGGTGAGTCAGAGATAGGCAATAAGTTTTCCACAGGAATAATTTTTTAAATTTAACCAATGTTTAGACTAGTTAAGAAAATTGAGAGCCTATCCATCCGTGTCTTCAACTATCAATAGACAAATTTTTTAAAGCAGGAGGGATACTGCAATTAGGGCTCTCAAGCTTTATTCTGCTTGTGTATAACCTTAGGGAGCTGCTAAAAATGATTCCTGGGATTGGGGCGAGGTACTCTGAGGACCATGTTTTGTCAAGTAATGCTTCATATCCCTCTGTTTTTTTCACAACTTACTTGCCTAGGATATAAGGAGACACACTCCACTACTCCTCACGTGGGCACATGAGCTGTATCATCTCTAATGTAGTGATGAGATCATTGAAAACAAAAGATTTGTATACAAATTCTTAGTTTAGTGATAGCCAGAATTTCAAACCTATTAGTGAAAAATTCTGAGGTGCCCTAAATTTAATTAGCCTAGTGCGAGAGGATGGCAGGAAGGTTGGCCTGTAAAACCACAGTCTGAAAGCAAAACCCTTTTATGTTTTTGAAGGTATGTTCAAGTCCCACTGGGGCTCCCACCAAGGTGATATGCCCTGTTTACAAGGAAACTTTTGGAACTGTGCACTCCAGTTACTCTGTGAACTACCGCTTTACACCAAAGCATTCCCTGCTTCACATTAACGCTTGCCCTCTTACCTATAGAAATACTCTGTTTAGAGAAATAGTCTTAACTGCACATTGTGCATGTCTGTAATCGTAGCACTTGGGAGGTGGAAGTAGAAGAAACCAGAGTTCAAGGTCAGTCACCCCGTCTGCTACATAAGGAGTTTGAGGCCAGCCTGGACTATATGAGAATCTGTCTGGGAAAAAAGACAGGAGCTGGAGAGATGGCTTGACATTTAAGAATGCTTCCTGCAGAGGGCCAGAGCAGTTTTCAGCACCTACATCAGTGGCTCACAACTGTCTAACTCCAGCTCTCTTCTGGCCTCTGAATGCACCTGCACACACATACACAGAGAGAGACAGACAGACATACAAATAATCTAAACCCCAAAACAATAATAAAAATAGTTTATAAAAACCCCTCTCAGCTCTGGGTCTGGTAGCCATTTTCCAGCTTTACCCATCCCTGCTGCTCATAGCTGCAGAGTCTTATTTTCCTAGCCAGCATTTGTAATAGCTCACTAAACCTGTTTGTTACAGAGTTCTCTCAGTCCAGGAGTTTGGGTTTAACACTGAAAAGGCCTGGGGATGTAGCTCAGTGGTGGGCAGCATGTTTAAAATGCACGAGGTCCTAGGTTTAATTGCCAATGCCCCCTCAAAAAAAAAAAAAACAAAAACAAAAACCCAAATTACAACAAATGTAATTTAAAGATCTTCATTAGCTTTATTTGCAGTTGTAGAATCAGGCAACACTTCCTTCCACAAAATGGGTTATTTGAGTGCACTGAGCCAAAGGCGGTTGGCCTTGTAGGGAAAAAGAAAAAAGCTGAAACAAAGGGGTTTGGTCAGTTGAACGTTACTTTCCTTGTAACCTGGAGACAGATAAAACAGAAATTTGGAAAGAGTAAAGCAGAAAGGAGCAGTCACACCATGAGCTAGTTGGACTGGGAGATGGGGCTGTTAACTTGTTTCTCAGAGGATCAGGTAAGGTTAACTGGATGAGGCGGGGCCTTTGTATGAGTGATTTTGATTTATATGTATGAGTGTTTTGCCCATACACCACATGAGTGCAATGCCCACAGAGGCCAGAAAAGGGTGTCAGATCCCTTGAAACTGAAGTTACAGACCTCTGTTAGCTGCCATGTGGGTGCAGAGAACCAAACTCAGGTCCTCTGCAAGAAATAGCCAGTACCCTTAACTACTGAGCCATCTCTCCAACCTGATTTTGATTTTTAGTCTGATCTTGGGAACCTAGTTTAGGAACCAAGTCCAAAACAGATTTGTAATTTTTATTTATCAAAATGTGTTACTTTTAAACTACCCGTGCTTCTCAAATGAGGATGTGGTGGCCTGTTATCCCAGCGAGGACTGCCACAAATTCCAAACTAGTATGGTTACATAGCAGACCCTGTCTCAGAAAAAACAAAACCATCACCACAACAAAAAATCCTACAGAAATTTCTAGGTGCCTCCTCGTGATTCAGTAGGCTGTGACGGGCTCTGAAGTGCTTGGGTGACTAAGGCTGAGCAAGGTTAGAAAACCCTGTTGGTCTCCACCCTCTCCCTGCTTATCAGACCTAACCAATGCCTGAAGAACTTGAAGTCAAATAAAAGCAACAAAAACAAAGGTCTTAATTCCCCTCAAACAACAGGTTTCTTAAGCATCCTGGGAGAACCAGAAACTGGGGTAACTATTAAGAAAGACACAAGTTTAAACTTGTCACCTGCCCTTAGGGTGCTCACAATTTAGTTGGAAAAACATGAACCCTAAAATTTATCTGATTCTAGGGCTGGGGGATACTGAGTTTGAGGCCAGTGTGGGCTACATAGCAGCTACCAGCCCTTTTAAAAAAGAAAGAATTAAATGTCACATGGTAGCCAAAAGAAGATCCTTGCAAAGGCCTGTGATACTTGAGAGTACAGATCTTGGAGGGCAGGGAACGGAGAGGGGCAGTCTTTCCTCCTCTCTCCAAAGCAGTCCTCTGGGGTTCTGTGGATCTGCTTATGCTTGCTTTAGGTTTCATTGGCCTCTTGATTCAAGGATGGGGGTAGACAGAAGCACGAGAAGACCCCAGGACTGCAGTTGTGCGTGTGGGAGAATGATAGACTGTATGTGGTTTTTGCAAGGGTTGTGACTGGCTTAAGAAACTCAAATCCAGCCGGGTGTAGTGGGGCATGCCTTTAATCCCAGCACTCCAGAGGCAGAGGCAGAGGCAGGCGGATCTCTCTGAGATCAAGGCTAGCCTGGTCTACATAGCGAGTTCCAGGCCAGCTGGAGCTACAGGGAGACCTTGACTCAAAAAGACACACACACACACCCAAAAAAAAAAAAAAAGGAAAGAAAGAAAAAGAAACTCAAATCCTTACCAGGCGGTGATGGTACACTCCTTTAGTCAGCACTTGGGAGGTGGGGGGGGGGACCTCAAATCCACAGCACTCTAGAACATTCTCCTGTGAATGTAGGGACAAAGCAAAAGGCAAGGTGAGAAAGGGCCTTGTTTTGCAAAATCTGTCACCCATAAGTGTTCTCTCCTGCCCATTGCCCTTCCCTGCCCTCTAAATTTCTAAGCACATGAGAGAAATGAAAAAATTGGGCTTTAAAACTAAAAGTCCCTTGAAGGATGGGAAAGCAGCTTCTGTCCTCAGTCCCAATGTCTGTTGCTGAGACTGGAGGAGGCAGGAAGGACTGTGTGGCTCCATCCATGCCACTGTGAAATGGCGGACACAGAAATTACTGAAATTAAAGA